ATAGCTGCAAAAATATTTATTTCAAACTTCTCCCTAATTTAGGACATTTTGTTGTTTGTAATTTTCTGAGGACATAGAGACAGTATATATCTTAACGCTCAAATCTTTGTGATTATTGCTGATTATTTTCATCAAAGCCTCAGCTATGGACTTGTAGGTTCAAAGTATATAAATACTTTTAAGCTTTTAAGATATTTCACAAAACTGGTCCCTAGTTGAATTATAGCAACCTATGTTTCCCCTAATAGGATACAAAATTGTCCATTTCATTGTATTCCAACTAGAACTGAATATTAGAATTTTAAAAAGCAGGGCTGGCATTGTGGTATAGCAGACAAAGGTGCTGCCTGTGACACTGACATCCTTATGGTCTCCAGTTTGTATCCTGGCTGCTCTACTTACAATCCAGCTTCCTGCTGGTGGCCTGGGAAAAGCAACATAGGATGGCTCAAGTGATTGGGCCCCTGCTGCCCACATGGGAGACCCAGATGAAGCTCCGGGCTCCTGGCTTTGTCTTGGGCCAGCCCTGGCTGTTGTGGCCATCTGGGAAGTGAACCAGTGTATGGAAGATCTCGCTCTCTCTCTCTTTCTTTCTCTCTCTCTCTCTGTCTCTTTCTTTCTCTCTTTCTCTCTGTCTTGCCCTCTCTCTGTAACTCTGACTTTCAAATAAATAAGTAAATATTTTTTAAAAATCCTTAAAAATCTTTTCCAATGTAATAGGTGAAAATATTGTAATTACTTAAAATTACATGATATAATTAATTATAAATTGATTTATAAATTTAAAGTGCAATCACTTTAAAATATAATCACACATGGCCACATATATAAACATCCACATGGCTAATTACTATACATTTTTATTTTCTCATTTTTATTTCCATTACTAGAGTTTTCTTACCAATGTGTGTACTCTTATATTAGGGCTATGGTTAACAGTCAGATTTGTCATCCTTTGCTTTGTAATTTGGAAGGTTCATTGTTGTGTTTTTTTCTGCCTTTTAAAACTTTCATTTCAGTATTTTTAGTTATCAGAATTTTTAATTGTTTATTTAACCTAGTATAATGGTTATTTCCTTTCTGATTTTACCATTTGTTTTCTTTCCTCGTGTGAGATCGCATAAATATTTGCCTAAGTTGATTCCTACTTTCTCTAATGTAACCGGAGTTTCTTGGGCACAGAATGAAAAGTAAGGGCTTAACCTGATTATTTTTCAAATAACTGCTTTCCTCAGCCCCATTCATTGTTAATCCACCTATTCTTCCTTTCTTTGCCAGAACTCTGTATCACACACAGAGGTTGATACTGCCTTTCCTTGGCTGGTTGTTCTATCACGATAATTTGTATTATCTTTCTGCCTCCTAAGTCAATACAGCAATTTCCCACATTTTCCGTTTTCTCGACTCCTCTCATCTATGACTTGGTCAGATAAACTTTTAATGGAATTTTGTTTTAGCCTCACAGGGTATGTGTTAGCAGCCCCAATCCACAGATAAGGAACTGAGGTTCAAACGGATCAGTAACTTAAGGTCACACACCTCCTAAGTGGAAGAGCCAAAAATCAGAATCATGTCGTTTACATCTTCCCTTTCAGCTCGAAAATGCTGTCATTTTTTAGTTAAAAAAAAAATCATGCTATTTACTTACTACTTTCCCTTATTTGCCCGCCTCCCTCTAGTGGCCATCACACACATTATAATTTCTGAAGTCAATTTTATGCAGTCATGAATATACCTACTCTCTTCTAAAATAAAAAGCACATTGAGCTTAATTTTTTTCTTACTTTTAAAGTGTGAGCTGCTACAATGGTCATAAGTATGATTGTTCATTATTACTGGGTCATACATTAGCAGCATTGTCTTAGCAAAAACCAATTTCAGAAATCAGTTATTAAAAAAAAAAAAGTCGAGTGAGACTTTGTAGCTTTCATGGATTTTTAAAGCGGTTGGCCTACTTGTGAAGATGCCCACATTCCATACTGGAGTGCCTGGGTTCCATGCCCACGTCCAGCTCCTGACTCCAGTTTCCTGCTAACGCAGATCCTGGGAGGCAGCCATGATGGCTCAAGGAGCTGGGTTCCTGCCACCCGTGTGGGAGATCTGGATGGAGCTCCTGGCTCTCAGCTTCAGCCTGACCCAGCCTCAGCATTTGGGGACTGAACCAGTGAGCAGAGAAATGCTCTCTTTTTCACTGCCCTTCAAATAAATTAATTGAAAAAAATGTTTAAGCAGTAAAATACCATATAGGAAGAGCCGCCTGAGTTTCTTTTTTTCCTTTTCTTCTCCCTGGATGTGATCCAGGTCATTTCATGAATAACTGGCTTCAAATTCTCCCTCTAAACCATTTCTTTCATCCTTGGTTTATTCCCTACCCTTTCACACTTTTTATTTTTTTTAAGGTTTTATTTATTTGTTTGAGAGGTAGAGTTACAGAAAAAGAAAGGGAGACACACAAAAAGATCTTCAATCCGCTTGTTCACTCCATAAATGACCGCAGCAGCTGAAGCTAACCCTATCGGAAACCTGGAGCCAGGAGCTTAGTCAGGGCCTCCCACGTGGCTGCAGGAGCCCAAGCGCTTGGGCCATCTTCTACTGCTTTCCTAGTGCATAGCAGAGAGCTGCATCAGAAGAGGAGCAGCCAGGACTCGAACTGACACCCACATGGGATGCCAGCCCTGCAGCAGAGGCTTAGCCTACTATGCCACAGCGCCAGCCTCCTTTTTGCACTTTTGAGGCCTTTTCCATGTCCAGGTGACATAAAGAGCTCTGGCTAAGGGGCGCCTTGGGGACTGGGAGCCAGCCCACGCTCAGTGCTGAAGCTGGGTCCCTGGTTATGTGGGCTCTGGCTCACAGACAGGGCCACCTGACTATGATTCCCACAAAGATTTGGCCAGCACAAGCAGGGGTTGGCCTCATTCCCCCTAATGCCACTGGGATAAAACCTTCTTCTCAATCTCATTTTCTCTCCTTTTCCTCCACATACCCCCCCCTTTTTTTTTTTTTTGCCTTTTTCTTTCCTTCATTCCCAAGCTCATCATCCTTCGATTTCTTTTTTCTTTCTTCTTCACCTATATGATAAACCATCAAAGCTCAACCAAGTGTAAAGGACAATAATAAAAAGAAAAAAAATCTGGAAAGCACCTATCAAAATGTCTCTTTTTTTTTTTTGCATGATCTGAATCACCTAACTCAAAGGTATTTAACATTATTGAACTTCTATTAAGTCCCTTCATGACAAAAAAAATCTTTCCTACTTAGCATAATATGGGACAGAAGTTTAAGAGGAAAAAAAAAAGAACATAGATCCATTATTCACCAGGGATTAAGGGCTGTCAGAACTGATTCTCTCCTGGATTTGCCGCAGAAAGGGGGATAATAACACTTGCCTAATTAACTAGCATGTTGGGTAGATTAAAGTGCTTTGTAAACAGTAATTAAAGTGGCACGGAGTTAGGTGAGGCTAATGTATCATTAGAGAAAAACTTGTCTCCCCTTTAATCAGGTATCTCTTCCTGCGGAGGACAAATCTGTGATCCACGGTGGCGAGCCCTGCGTGGTGCCAGAGACCATTCTGTGCAGTGCCCTCCTTGCTACGTCTTCAGCACAATGGAGCCAAACGCCCATATCTCAGGAATAGAGGTTGTCCTCATGTTTGCCATTTCAGTACACAACAAACCCTGTAATTATTAAACCCCATAGCCGGCTTTCTCCCTCCCTAGTGAGCTGTTCCACCGTATGGAAACACTGGTGACATTCACTTCCACCCACTTATAAAAGCCTTCCACAAGTAGCTATTAACCTGAGCAGATGTTTCCACAGTGATAGAGCGAAGAAAAAATCCCAAGGAGCAATGGAGCCAAAACCTTGAGGCTCAGTGGGTTCAGCTGCTGCACCCTGTCTAGCTGTTTCCAGTTTCAGTCCTGACTGCTCTGCTTACCATCCAACTCCCTGCCAATGTGCCTGGGAAAGCAAAGGAGGACGACCCAAGTGCTTGGGACCCTGCACCCACATGGGAGACCCAGATGGAGTTCCAGTTTGCTGGCTTCGACCTGGCTCAGCCCTGGCTGTTTCAGCCGTTTGGGAAATGAACCAATGGGTGGAAGATCTCTGTCTCTCTCTCTCTTTCACTCTGCCTGCCTGCCTCCCTCCCTCCCTTAATTCCCCCCGCCCTTTCTTTTCTTATTTATTTGTAAGGCAGAGTGAACAGAGAGAGAGAGAGAGAGGGAGAGACAGAGAGAGGTCTTCCATCAACTGGTTTGCTCTCCTAATGGCTGCAGTGGCCAGAGCTGAGCAGATCTGGAGCCAGGAGCCAGGTGCTTCCTCCGGGTCTCCCACGTGGATGCAGGAGCCCAAGCACTTGGGCCATCTCCTACTGCTCTCCCAGGTGCATTAGCAGGAAGCTGGACTGGAATTGGAGCAGCCAGGACTCAAACTGGCATCCATATGAGATGCTGGCACTGCAGGTGGCGGCTTTACCCGCTATGCCATAACGCTGACCCCACCTGCTTTTCAAATAAATAAATAAATCTTTAAAAAAAAAAAAAAAAAACCTATTGGATGATTTACATGTGAACCTCAGTTTCCCACCTCTGTAAAATGGGGAGAAGAAACCAGAGGGCTGTTTTAAGGATTAAATGAAATAATGTTCAATGCCTAGTTCAAGGGAGCTGGTATTCAATAAACAGCAGTTGTTATCATTACTTTAAAAAAAAAAAAAAGCTTCTCAAACTAATGACCACAAAAGAAAAACACAGTTCTAGCTCATTGAGAGCTTCAAACTCAAATCCCTGTAGCTTTTCTCTACGTGGGTAACTCAGAGACGGGAGCTGGGGATTTTTCACAATGATCGTCCCATCATTCAAACCTCACACTTGAACCCAGGCACCCTGAGAGGCCACTGCGAGCTCGGCCCCGGCGCCCGGGCCTGTCCCTTTAAGCGCTGCGGCCGCGCGCTGTGTGCGGCTAGGGCATCTGAGCCCGGGCGGCGAGGGCGCGCGCGCGGCGGGGCGGGCGCGCGCGGCGCTGAGGGAGCTCGCGGCGGGACGGCCAGCGGCGGGACGGCCAGCGACGGTCGGCGAGGCGCGCTCGGGGCGAGCAGGCGGCGCCGAGGCTGCGGGTCGCCGTCCGCTCGGACACCTGTCGTCCCCGTGGGAAGGGGCTCCCGCTAGGTGAGTGTGGCTCTGCGGACCCCGGACAGGCTCAGAGCGCCGGGAGGGCGTCCCGGCAGCCGTGCCCCGAGTCGGGGCGCCCGTGTGGCCGGCGTTTGGTGGCGAGGCGGGGACGGTGGGTTTCGGACCGAGACCGGGGCGGCGGCGGCAGGGATCTGCGTCCCCCGCTGCGGGCGCCCCCTGCTCCTCGCCCTGCGCTAGGTTCCTGAAGTTGGGGAAGCCGTGGGGCGGGGGCGCGCACCTGAGGGGACGCGGTCTCCGCAGAATGTGCAAGGCTTTTTACACTGAGAAGGTTCGGCGCCTCCTTGGCGATTTCAGGGGGCCGGGGTCGCTGGGGGACAAACGCGGGCTTTGCTGATGGCGGGGGCTTCCTTGTGCGGGAGAGGGGCACTGAGGTTGGCAGCGAGTTTTTGTTTGACTCTAGCTTTGGGCGCCGGGAGTCCCCGGCTGCGCCCAGCACCGCGTCCCGGTGCCAGGTGCCCGGTGCCCTTCCCGGCCGGCGCCCGGCTTCCCGCCGGGGACCTGGGTCCCGCACTGCGCAGAGGAGGGCGCGGGTCAGACCCCGGCGGCAGGCCCCCCGGGAGACGGAGGTCCTAGTTAGGTGTTCGTCCCCTCCAGGGTGAGGTGGGGGTGGGGGGCCCGACAGGTAATCGAATCACACGGGAAGGTGTAGGATATGCTTTGTGAACCGGGCTGGGGGGGGGGGGGGTAAAAAAAAGAGCAGAAAATGTAGCTAATGTGATCAGTTGAACAAAAGACAATAAAATCAACTCCAGTATTTCTCCCAGGCTTTGAAAGTTTCCCAGTATTGTTTTACAGACTCTAAATTTAAGCATCTAGGTCCCCCCACCCCCTTAACCGCAGGAACTAACCTCAGAAAACTTTTTAACTCTGCCAGAACCTAATTGGTGCAGAGAACTTAAAAGTGAGCAAGGGAAAGTGATTCTGTGTGTCTTCCCCCACTCCCACCCCCAACAGGATAAAACATTCAGTTCTGTTGTAGGATGCTTGGGAGAAGAAGGTTCCGGCTGAAATTTTAATAGGGAACTTTTTTTCAAAAAAAAGTTTTTATTTCTGAAAGGTACAGAAACACCAAACCAGGTATACGTGTCCACGCGAGGAAAATGTTCACAGGAGAAATCTTATCAGAAATTCTTTTCGACTTCTGGTTTTCAATAACTGTGTATTTGCCCAAGCCTGCATTAAAAAGTTTGCCCTCAGAGTTCCCTTTCTGAATGTTACAGATTGTTTTTCTAGTTGGAGGAGATTTTTTTTTTTTTTTTTGGCTTCATGAAGCCAGTGTGGAAATACAAACAAATGCCCTGTTTACTTGGGATTGGGTGGGAAGGATGGAAGTTGTCTAAAATCCTGCTTGCCAAACCTGACAGTGTACATATGGAATCTTGGGTATTTTCTTGCCTGGACTAGTAGTAGCCATTTTTCCGTGACTGGATATATTTCTTGGTAGTCGCACTTCCAGTGAGCTTCTCTGAAAATTCTGGATGCTGGGAACTTAAAGGTGTCGGATTTTCTCCATGTCTAGAAACCAGAAATCCCACATCCATGTGATTATTGAGAAAAGCCTGGAAGACGGGTGATGCTTTAAGAATGCCGGATTCCATGGCTCCCTGTGCTGCATGGGAGAGAGGAGATTTGCCCCGTTTTAGGGCAGGCCTGATGTGTTCATTAATTCATTCAGTATATTCATGCTGAGCCCTAGCTGGTTACCAAGCTTAATGACATTGCTAGATGACAGCCTTACGGCTCAAACTGAGCAAAACCAGATCAAGTAAGCCTTGGCCGGGAGCTCAGGAGACACCTGGCCCTGGCTCCAAAGTTCTCAGACACCTAAGGAGCCCATAGTCGGCACCCTGTGTTGATTGTGAAGATAATCTCCCGATTACTGCTGAAGGAGAGTGGAGCCTCGGAACCTCAAGGGAGACAAGTGGGAAGCCTGGGTGGAGCAGGGCTAAGATCAGGGGATTCCTGGGACAAGAAGTTCAAAGGCATCTTATCTGCATGGTGATGGGACAGCCGCCAGTGGCACTGAGGCCAGTCGGTCGCTCAGTGTCAAGGAATCCTGGGAGCATCCCACATCTTGAGGTCTCTCCCTTGGTGGTGAAGGGCAGCGTTTAGTTTCTGGTGGCGGCGTGGTGGCTCCCCAGCCACCTGCGTGCTCTGAGGAGGATGGGCTTGGCAGCTGTGCACCTGAGGGAGTCCACTGGCCCCTGCGGGAGAGCCTCTGGCCCGCACGGGGCTGCCCCCTGCGCCAGTGATGTCAGTGCAGTGGAGTCACTGCCGGCACTCTGGCTATGAGACACAGTGGGGCTGTCCCTCTCAGTAACACTTCTGTCCTCCTTCCAGACTCCCAGCACTGATCTTGAAACCTGAGGCTGTTTTGAGAAAGTTGGAGCTGGGTCTGTTTACACAGTCGGGATTGGTGATAAAGGAATACGGAGGGCAGGATGTGCTGCCCTGTTGGAGGGAGAGATGCGGTGGCCTTTATGACTATGTCTTCATACTGTCAAGACACAGGCACTGGGAAGAGTTGATTCTCAGTTTTTACTTGTAGTAAAAACACACGTGACATAAAAGTTACCTGCCACTTTCAGGTGCATAGAGCGGTGGCATGAGGTGCATTCCTGGTGTTGTACAACCGTTAGGGCTGTCTGATTCCAGGACGTTTCATCAACCCCAAAGGGGTCCCATTCCCTTGAAGCACTCTGCATGTCCCCCAGCACTCTAGCCACGGAAGCTACTAATCCCCATCTTCATCTCTGTGGGTCCGCCTATTCTGGAATTCATAGCAATGGAATCATCTTGCAACACGTGACCTGTAGTCTCGGATGTCTTTCATTCGGCCTGATGTTTTCAAGGTTCATCCATGTTGTAGCTTGTATCAGTCCCTCATTCCTTTTGATGGCTGAATAATATTCTATGTGTATGTCACATTTTGATTATCCATTCATCAGTTGATGGACATTGGGTCATTTCCATCTTCTGGCTATTGGCTTTTTTTTTTTAAAGATTTTATTTATTTATTTGAGAGGTACAGTTACAGACAGTGAGACAGAGAGAAAGATCTTCCCTCCCCTGGTTCACTCCCCAAATGGCCACAACAGCTGGAGCTGCACCAATCTGAAGTCAGGAGCCAGGAGCTTCTTTTGGGTATCCCATGTAGGTGCAGGAGCCCAAGTACTTGAGCCATCTTCTACTGCTTTCCCAGGCCATAGCAGAGAGCTGGGTCGGAAGTGGAGCAGCCGTGTCTCAAACCGGTGCACCCATATGGGATGCTGGCACTTCAGGCCGGGGCGTTAACCCACTGCGCCAGCCCCACCCACACATATTTCTTAATAGAATTATCTTGGTGGGGGGGAGTCTACACTCTTTTATACTACACTAGAAACAGGGAAGCTTGGTCAGTTGAATATCCTACAATGGTACATTTGGAATTTTCTATAAAGATCAAGAGGGTTTAACTGTAGTCAACATCTAAGTGGCTATTGTGCCAGGGACAGTTGTGTATACAACCATAGAGGTGGTCTTTGCCCTCAAGAAACTTACAGTCCTATGAAAGATAACATAAATGTCAAAAAAGTGAGTCAGTAGAGCCTGCGTTATGGCCCAGCAGGTCAAGCCGCCTTTGGCTGCTCTGCTTCCCATCCAGCTTCCTGCTGTTGCACCTGGGAGGCCGCTGGTAATAGCTCAAGTACTTGGGTCCCTACAGTCCATGGGGGTGATCCAGATGGAGCTCCTAGCTCCTGCTTTCTTCCTGGTTTCCCAGCCCTGGCTGTTGCAGGAATTTGGGAATGAATCAGTGGATGAAGATCCCTCTCTTTCTCTGCCCCTCTCCCTATCCCTCTGCCTTTCAAATGAAATAAATAAATCTTTTAAAAATGAATTGATAACAGAGAGGTCCGTACGTCTTTTGGGAATGGAGGACAGAGGTAATCTTTTGACCAGCGATGTCAGGACACCTACTGCAAAATTTAACATCTGAACTGAGCCAGTAAGGGGAGGATAGTGAAAAATCAGGCAAAAATGGTAGAACTGTGGCTTTGGTTGTCAGGCTGAAAGAGTTTAGCCTTTGGTTGGAGAACGCTGAAGGTTCAAGAGTAGGGTCATGATCGCAGATCGTGGTCTCTGGTTTTGCTGTGGAGTTGACATTTGCACACTGAGGAATAACTTGAACGGAATGTTCAGAATTGAGGAAAGGAAGATAGAAATATTGAAGAGAAAGATAAGAAAGGTGTGAACACAGGGAAGACACTGTACACTAGACTTCTTGGTGCAAAAACCAAAAATGTTTACGTTGACAGCTATAAGAAGCCCTGTGGGGCTTGCCGAATCCACTTAAAGGGCTGCACCTCTGTTTCCTCGTAGGGTGAAGACAAACTGTCCTCCATGTCCACTAGCTAGCCCCAGAATTGTTGACTCAGCTCCTGCTAATCCATTTTATAAAGCAGAGGTCTTTAAAATGCACATAGCGGGTTAAAGCCACAGCCTGTGGCACCGGTTCTGGTCCCGGCTGCTCCTCTTCCAATCCAGCTCCCTGCTAATGTACCTGGGAAAGCAGAGGAGGATGGCCTAAGTCCTTGGGCCCCTGCATCAACTTGAAAGACCTGGAAGAAGCTCCTGGCTTTGGCCTGGCTCAAGCCCAGTAGTTGTGCCCATTTGGAGAGTGAACCAGCATATGGAAGATCTCTCTCTACAGGTCTCTTTTCTCTCTTTATAACTTTGCCTTTTAAATAAATAAATAAATCTCTAAAATACACATGTTACAGGAATATACTGAGTGTTATTTTTTTTTCCTGTTGACTCCTATATTGATTTTAGAGACTTATGCTGAGGAAAAATGTTTTGGTATCCACATATCATAAAATCACATGTCCAGCCAAAATTTCGTTGCAGGGAAGACTTCCCTTTTTGACAATGTTAATTATCAATTCAATTCTAAAAATATGAGGCTAACCCTATGCAATGGCCAGCATTCAACTGTT